GCCACGCGCAGGCAACAACAGTGGCTGGCGACCAGGGGGCAGGCGCAGCGCCTGCCCCACAGGGGGGGCGGCAGCGGACGACGAGGGCGGCAGCATTGGGGGGGGGGCAGGATGCGGGGCGGCAGAAACGTCGACGAGGAGCGGCAGCTGCCAACCTGAGCTGGCAGCTTCGCGGGGACCCCCCTTTGCCGCGGGCCCCGCCAGCGAAGGCAGCGGCGGCGAGCGGCAGGGGGCTGCCCAACTGGCAAACCCGTCCTTGACCAGTGCGAGGAGAAAAAAGTTGCGTTGAGAAAGGGAGATGCGCCGGAGGTTTTATATGATCGGGCACAGGTAATGTCGTTTGGGTCACTCACTGCGCTGGTTGGTCTAGATATACTGCCCCCAAACAGTGTTTACATGCGCTGATTCGTCAGATTCGTGGATATGGCCCCCCCTCTCCTTCCTGGGTGTATATATATATATGTATATATATATATATATGTGTGTGTATATATATATGTGTATATATATATGTATATATACAGATATATGCATATATGCAGATATATATATATGTATATATGTATATATATATATATATGTATATATACAGATATATGCATATATGCAGATATATATATATATGCATATATGTTTATGCATATATGTTTGTATATACATATATACATATATATATGTATATGCATATATGTATATGCATATATGTATATGTATATGTATATGCATACATGTATATATATATATATATATGTATGTTATATATACATATAATGAGTGGTGGTTGTTGCGCCCTGAGGTGGCCGTGTTGCCTGGGCAATGATGATTCGATGTGTTGTCGTTGTTGCCCCATGGGTGGTGTGGTCGAGCCCCATGATGGTAGTTGTTGCTAATGGCGACGCATGCTTGGCTGCCATCTGTCCTCAAGCTGCAAGCAACGCGCAGCAGCAGGCTATCTGTGTGCAATCATAAACCCAACCCACCTCTCACCCCCCCTCCTGCCATCCGCGCGACGGGCGAGTGAGCCGTCGTCATGGTGCAAGTCTCCAAGGAGATGAAGAAGGTGGTCCTAAAGCTGGAGGAGATCTGGACGACCAGGCTCCGCATCGATCCAGCTGCCCCGTCGCTGCAGGAACACGTCGCGGAGTGGTTTGAGAAAACGTACAGCACCGCGCCTCTGAAGGCGGCGTTGAATGAAAAGATTTTGAAGGTCGTCCCGATGCCTACAACGGCGCTAAGCACGCAGGTCCCTGACGGCAAGGCCGACGGTGTGATGCTCCACCTCACTCAGTTCCACATGGGCCCGCAGCTCACTGTGAAGGGATTGTCCAGGACACTGGGCGCGCGTGATATTATTTGTTCCCCACCATCCTTGTGGGGTTGGGTTTTCGCTCTGAAGAGACAGCCCCCCGCGTTTGTTTCTCCTCCTTCTCCTTCTCCTTCTCCCTCTCCTCCTCCTCCCCCCCCCACCACCCTCCTCCTTCACCACCAACCCCGCCTCCTCCCATCATCGCCAGCGTCATCATCAACATCATCATCATCAACATCATCATCAATCACCATCATCATCGTCATCGTCACCATTTCGGTAGACCCTCGTACGTTTCGTGGCCCCATTTAGAACTCCTGTGCGCGTGGCCACTTGATGCGCCCCCCCCACCACGCCCCTGTCGTCAGCATGCCCTGGCCCCATAGGGAGCTCCGCTGAAGGTCCCAGCGGGTGTGCCTGCATGCGCCCCCACCACCTCCACCCACTCACCCACCCACCCACGCGCGCATGGTGCTCTGCGAGGGCAGGAGAGGATGGAGGGTGGGAGGAGGGCTGGCCCTGCAATGGGGCGGCGCCTCCCCTCTCGCGGAGCGCGATTGGATTGGCCACCGCCGCAGCAGCCACGGGAATAACGACAGCAGCGGCAACAGCTGCAACAGCCAGCAGAGGAAGCCTCCTCCTTCCTTCCGTCCAAGGGCACGTTTCGTGGCCTCATCATTGGGAGCCCCGCCAATGATCCAAGTGGCGGGTCAGCCCCTACACCAATTTCGACACACACACACACACACCACACACACACACACACACACACACTCGCGCGCTTCCAAGCCGCATGCGCCCCCCCACACCGATTTCGGCACACCCCTCACGCGTTTCGTAGCCCCCCCCCCACACCTATTTCGGAACACCTCGCGTTTCGTAGCCCCATAGGCAGCTCCTCCACCGAAGGCCCCCCCCCCCACGCGCGTGGTGGGTGGGTGCCCACGCATGGTGCTATGCGAGGGCAGGAGAGGATGGGTGGTGGGAGGGCTGGCCCTGTAATGGGGCGGCGCCCCCCCCCTCGCGGAGCTAGCGCGATTGGATTGGCCACCGCTGCAAAAGCCACGGGATCAACGATAGCGGCTGCAACAGCTGCAACAGCCAGCAGAGGAGTCCTCCTCCTTCCTTCTGTCCAAGGTTTCGTGGCCCTATATAGTAGATCTCCGCGTCCCAGTGCGCGTGCATGTATGCATGCGCCCCCCACACCCATTCCGACACACCCCTTACACGTTTCGTGGCCCCATAGGGAGCTCCACTGAATGTCTCAGTGGCTGCGCATGCCCGCATGATGCGCTCCCCCTCACCTATTTCGGAACACCTCGCACACGCACGTTTCGTGGCCCTGTGTATAGGGAGCTCCACTGAAGGCCCAAGTGGGCATGCCTGCAACAGGCGCCCCCCGCGCCAATATCGCCACACCCCTCGCACGCTTCGTGGGCCCATTGGGAGCTCCACCAAATATCCGAACCCGCATGCGCCCCCCCCCTTCAAATTTCTGCCCCCACCTCGCGCGTTTCTTGGCCCCATAGGGAGCCCCACCGGACGTCCCAGTGAACATGCCCACCACGTGCGTCCCCGGCACCGATTTCGGCACAGCCCTCACACGTTTCGTAGCCCTGTAGGGAGCTCCACCGAAGGTCCCAGTCGGTATGCGTGCATCATGCGCCCCTGATACCCATGTCAGCACCACCCCCCTCACACGCGTCGTGGCCCTATCAGGTGCTCCACTGAAAGAAAGCCCCCATGGCGGTGCCCACATGCGTCTCCGACATTCTTTTTGGAACATCATTCACAGGTTTTTTTTTTTTTTGGGGGGGGGGTGGGGGAGGGGGTGGTCCCATAAGGGGACTCCACCACTGAAGGCGATACCCACAACAGCGCCACTCACAACTGCATGTGGATGGTCGGGTCCTTCGCCAGGCTATTTTTGACAGCGGTGCGCATGGGGGGGCGAGATCGGCAGCACCGTTGGGGGCAGGGGAAACAAGTAGCAAGGCGGGTTAGCCTTGCATGTGTTACAGATTCCCACCAGGATGGCGGACATCATGGAGCGGATGACGCTCCTTTTCCCTGATGGCGCTAAAACCGCAGCAGAGAAAATCCACCTTTTTTTCGATGCCACGCAGCAGCCCTCCGTTGAACTCGGCCAGAACAGCGTCCGAACGAAGCTGGGGATGGCTCGAGTTCTCGCGTGTTTCATGGTTGCGGTGCCTGCGGCGGAGGGGTGGCTGACCCCAATGGAGGTGGAGTGCATTCGCCCGGTGTTGAGTACGTTCTCCGTGCTCCATGGCAACTGGGACAACCAACGTGACTCTGGAAGCCTCTTCGCAGCCATCGCTGCCAAGCATGGGCGGGGCTTGACGCAGCGGGTGGATCCGGACACGTTGCTCGAGATGTTCGCCCCCATCGTTGCCGAACGGAAGGCCAAGGAGCCAATGGTCTTGCTTACGGAGTCGGAGTGGCTGGACAGGGTCATCAATTCGTACAACGACTCTCAGGTTGCAACTGGCTTGAAGATCTCGCCTCAAGAACGCGCTGCAGCGCACGCCCTGACCTGCGCCGGACCAGAGGCCCGTTCAATTGTCCGGTCTTGCTGGAACAGCTTCAAGTTGGCCGAGTCCCCGATCACGCTCGACATGTTGACCAATGGCAGTAATGGTCCAGTTGAATTTGGCATCCTGATTCAAGAGTTGCCGCACGGTGTGGATGACGCAGAGTGGAAGTCGGCGCTAAGTCTCAGCGTGCAAGGGTACTCGCTGTGGCTCCAGAGATCACGTGAGTATTACTTGGCCAAGTACAACATCCTCCGCAACACCCGCAAGAAGGGCCAGGTGAACCTCCGCCAGAGCTGCAAGGATATGCGCGAGACTCAGCCCAAGCTGTCCGTCGCGCTCTGCCAGCGGTGGGCTCACAATGAAGCTGGGCTCAGGTGATAGGCGAGGAATTATGAAAGCCCATGCTTTGCGTCCTAGTTTAAAAATGAAATGGACATTGAGGTTGTTGATCTCGAGATGGGGGGTCGATCTCTGTAGGGGCCCAGCACCGCCAGGGGCAGCGCCGCCAAAATAAAGCACCATTGCAAAACATTAGTGCTTTGGGAAGAAGGAGCTCCCCCCTGGGCCCTTAACAGGACACCCACCATGGGGTGCCAATGGGATTCGATTGGAAACCAACTTCACCGCGCACTGGGGGGGGGGAGGGGGGCACCATTGGTAGTATAGTAGTAGGGGGGCGAGTAGTAGTAAGTGAGGGTGCTGCCCATGATTGGGCGCCACTGTAATAACATACCATGCCGGGGTATCTGGGGCATCCTGTTTTTTTTTTTTTTTTTGGGGGGGTTGCCTCCCTCCCCACAGGTGATGTATGTCGCTCCCCCTCCCCCAGGGTGACGTTGCGCCGCCTAACCCCATAGCCCCGCCAATCGATTGGCTGCCCACGTTGGCCCTGAGCCCCCTCGAATCAGACCACACAACAGGAAGGATTGCGGGACAGGCCCTTGTTGCAGCGTCAGGCCTGACGCTGCGACAACGCGGTTCTCCTTCGCATGGGGCGCAGGTTTTGCGGTACATGGGGTGGTAAGTAAGACAGGGTGGCGGGGATTTGCGGTCGGTGCTGTGTGATGACGGCTATGCATAAGGTCCCTCCCAATGGGGTGAGGGTGGGGGGGGGAGTGGGTATCTTCTTTGTGGTGGATATGTCAAGGTCGTTCCTGGGGGCGTCGCACGAGCAGACGAAGCAGCGTTTTCTCCGTGGGGCTATAGACCAGTACATTGAGGAGCACGTGCGCAAATGCTCGCCGGGCGACTGCGCCGCTTTCTCGAAGATTGCCGTCCTCGCTGGCCTGGCCACTGGAACAGGCGCCCGCGGAAGGGAGCTGCGGCGCGAGCACTCGGAGGCCGCCTCGGACAACAACGACGACGCTGCCGCCAACGACCCTCTTGCGAAGGAGGAGGCAGTGCTGAAGTGCAAGAAGTTCATGGCCCAGTTCAGCAGGGAGGAATGTACATTCACGACATGGGTGAATTCTGTCAAGGGTTTCGAGAGCAGCGCTGCCAACGCGCAGTTCAAATGGAACCATACCAACAACGAGAACATGCGCCTGGCAATCTCGCAGATGTTCGACCAGGTGTTTCCTGTGCACGAGGCCCCAAACATCGAGAAAGGGGACAACAAAGCGCGCGCAGCGCATCGCAGCGCCGAAGACTACTATGGCACAACCAGCAGCACTCTGAAAGTCCACTTGTTGAATGGTACTTACTGCGGGGCTGTCAATGAGGACCTACTCGGGATGCTCCCGCGCCACGTCAGTGCCACAGTGAACCGCGAACCGGAGAGCACGGTGTATGTTATCCTCAGTTTCCTGCGGGGCTACGGCATCTCCACAGAGCGCCATGCCCCGCGCCTCACGATGCAGAAGGTCATCAAGAGCCTCACCGAGGACCCAGACTTGAACCTCGAAGTGAACACTTTCACGCTGTGCTTCGAGAAGCGCCCTACAGGTGGCTGGGCAGGGGGCCCGATGAGGCCCGAGGGCGCACTCTGTTTCAGCGCAGACAGAACGAAGACGATGGACTTCGCTTGTCGTTTTTCGAAATCAGCCCTCTACCGCAATGAGACGACTGGTGCCCTCTGCAAGGCACACCCCAGGTCGTCCTATGTGTGCCCCACCAACCCTGCAGTGCAAGGCTACCACTTCCCGGACACCTCGTTGGAGAAAATGGACAAGCAGCGGTACACAGGCCCGGGCATGTACTGGCCGCTCGTGATGTCTCTCCTATCCGGACTGGGGCTAAAGAGTAAGGACCTGGTCCATTTCAGGGAGGAGGTCGCATGCGATGGTACTTTGGCGAGCACGCTTCTGGAGATGATGGCAGCGCCGCCAGAGCAGTTCGTAGTGCCTAAATTCTCATGCAGCATGTTGCTAAGGATGGGTTCCGCATCATCAATTCGCAACAATTTGGTGTACTTGGACAAGACCCTTACAAATTTCGTCAAATCGCTCATCAAGAAAGGATTCCGGGTTTATGGCTATGATCCGCTCCCACCTCTGGACATGCATGCGACTTCCCCTGGCCCTTTGGATCTCTCGCTCTTCAAAGTCACCATGCCCATCACTAGCACTATGACCATGCAGATCCGCGAAGATGAATGGCTCGCCGTTACAGGCCACCCGGAGGTGATCGCCTCGTGGCATATGGGGCTAATATGGGACCCCCCTTGTATCATGTATGTTGCTTCTTTGTGTTATTTAAGTATGTTGTGAAGATGGGACCCCCAGTGTTTGGGGCTGTTCTTACTGATCACTCCTTGGGCCCCTGACTGATGTTTTCGGCGCGTGCCCATATAGTTGGAATAGGTAACATGCGCAATCAGGGGGCTGGCAGGGTTAACCTGGACACCCTTCGCCTTCAGTTTTGTCAATATTGTTTTGATTTGGCGGGCCCTTCACAGGTGAAATCCCAGGCCGACAATGTTGTTTTGATTTGGCGGGCCCTTCACAGGTGAAATCCCAGGCCGACAAGTGGTTGGATCACTTCAACGCCCGCCACAACCCGAGTGGCAACTTTTGGGTGGACAGCAAGAAGCGCCCAGCTGATTTCGCCGCTGAAGGCGACGAAGCGGTCACCCTGCCGAAGCTGTCTCCAGAGGACCCAGAGACCATAGAGGAGCTCGAGAAGGGAGCAGCAGGCCAGGGCTTGAAGAAGGGGCTAAGCACCCTCCAGACTGGCTTGCTTGTGGCGAAGACGACGGAGGGCGCCGTCTACCTCTACGCAGAAGATGCAGACATGGTCGCCCGGAAGGACACCCCTTTGCATGGTTGGGGGCCGGGGAAATGGCTTGTGGATAAAGAGCTGAAAGCAGCGGAAGACAAGACTGCTTCCGCCCCAACCCTCGTCACGTTCATGTGCAACGATACTCAAGAGGAGATCCGCTTCTATGGAAAGCCGCCATTCACAGACGCTGCGTTTTCGAGCTCCCCGCAGCCATTGCGTCAGTTTTTGCAGCACTTGGAAAAGACGCACAATGTGACAGAGCATACGTTGGTGAACCACACGGTGGAGAGGACCGACGGCGGGGCTAATAGCAACCCAGACTACATTGTCAAGCAGGTTTTGCCATGTAAGTTTCTACCATCTAGCAAGGACGACAAGAACTGGTGCGTTGCTGTCACGTATGCTAAGATCGCCGCGTCCGAGCGGGTGCGTGTGATGGTTGACATCGAGTGCCAGGTCGACAAAAAAATACCAGAGGGCCCTTTCGTGATTGGCCCTGCGAGGTCCTTCACATGAACCCCATTCCTTAATAATGTCGTGTCCTCTCTCTATAATCATCTTCAGCTCTTCCCATTGAATTGTTAATGATGGGGCGGAGCTCGTGTGACTGGCCTGGTCAATTAATTAGCGACACCTTGCAGGTGGGCGGGCAGGCAGCAGCAGGGACAGGCAGCAGGGGGGGGCAGGCAGCAGGGGGGATGGATGGGAGAGGGTGGGGATGAACATCGAGGTACCACCAGCAGCAGAACACGATGTGCCCTGGGGACATCCACCTCTTCCTGAAGCAGGACACCCGGATCTACAAGAACAAGCTCACGCGCATCGTGTGAGGTCTGCAGTGAGGGGGGGGGGCGACTAGATCGCTTTATGTTTCTCCAAGGAAAGAAAGCAGACAGAGCACTAGCTGCCCTGGCAGGGCAGTCTAGCCCAAGGGGGCCCCGCCGGCTGAGCCCCTGTTGGGGCTCCTGGAGGAGGGTCCCTTGCCGTGGCGTCTGGAATGACGCTACAACAAGGGGCGCCTCCCACATGGAACAGCTCCCGCGATGAGTGGGGGGACAACGATGTACCCCAGAACTCAATATATACAATTGGCAGCAGATACGCACACCACAGGGAGAAACAAATCGCAGGCATTTCAGGCGCGCATGGGCCTGGAACATGTATGCAGCAGCTGGAGTCTTGCTGCGCGCCCCTGGGAACGCTTCCCAAATTTTAGTATTCATGGCCCAGCAGTTTTTGTTTATCGCTTGCTGCATGGCAGCAGGTACAGAGATGGGGCTAATAACCAAGGAGCTAAAAAAAAGACTTGTCGCTTCTTTGTTTTTTGGTATCGGTCTCTCTCAGCAGACAGGAGCAGGCAGGGCTGGCTGGCGTGCAGGAGGAGTCAGGGCGGGGCTTGCTGGCGTGCAGGAGGAGTCAGGGCGGCAGCAACAAGCAGTTCCTTCAGGCTCGAGTGGTTAGTGCTGCGCAGCGCGCCCTGTGCGGCGCAACTACCCTTGTGCCTGAGCAATGTCACAGTCGTCATCCTCGGACGACGACTACAAAGTCAAGGTATACCCGCGGTCTGCAGGCGCGGCGGCGCCAACAGCATCGGCCCCGCCATCGTCGCCCCCAGCCGTGCAGCCGCGGCCAGGAGAACAGTTGATGGAGGGGGCGGCAGGGGCGGGGGGATCAACAGCAGCAGCGCCAATGGACTGGCAGTGCCGCGGGCAGCAGCAGCAGATAGCGGCAGCGCCGCGGATGAGGAGGCCTGGCGGCAGCGCCGCCGCAGCAGCGGCCGCAGGGGCGGCGGCGCGCAAGAGGCCCGCAGCTGCAGCGACTGCAGAGGAGGATGAGGGCGAGAAGGATGAGGAGGAGGAGGAGGGGCCTGCTGTGCGCAAGAGGCCCAACGGCAACACACGCGCGAAGGATGAGGAGGAGGAGGGGGGGCCTCCTGCGCGCAAGAGGCCCAGCGGCAACACAGGCACATTGGCTGGGCGCAAGAGGCCTGCTGCCGCCAGCGCAGCAGCAATGGGCGACAAGGGCGAGAAGGAGGACGAGGAAGAGGAGGACGCGGAGGAGGAGAAGGAGGAGGAGGAGGAGGAGGAGGAGGAGGAGGAGGAGGCTGCTGAGTGTGGGAGCATTAAAAAAAAACCTGCTGCTGCCGCCAAGGCGTCGCCAATTGCCGGCGGCCTGCAGCGGCACAACAGGGGGAACAGCGGCGACGGCGGAGGAGGCGCAGGAATGGCAGGCTCTGTTAGGGCTGCGAAGAGCAGCGACGACCCTTCAGGCAGCGACCCGGGGATCGAGGGCATGCGAAAGTTCTTCGCCGACCACTTGTCGGCGGGCTTGACCTTGAAGGAGACGCACGCGCAGTGGCGCGAGAAGGGCGGGGCTAACCTGGCAGCCGGAGGACGCACTCCATTTCAGTTGGCAGGCAATTTCCTCGACTGGATGCGCGATGGGCACCAGTATTACTGCAAGTATGGCCGCCTCGAGGAAAACCTCTCCACGGCGAAAGCACTGGAGAAATGGAAGGCGATGTCTGAACGGGCCAAGGAGAAATGGCACCGGAAGTCGCACAACCACAGCGCAGTGATCCTGGCCATGAAGTTGAGCGACGCTGGCAGGGCGAGCCATGGTAAGGCCGCGGATTTAACCATTGCCCTCATGGGAAACATCAAGAAGTCCAACCGGGAGGAGTGGCTCGCCGACATAATGAAGCAGTCAGCCCCCCCCCCGCCGGCGCCTGGCTCATGGAACGAGGGGGGGGGCCGCCGCTGGCGTCGCGGATGCCCATGGGGCTACAGCAGCAGCAGGGGCAGCAGCAGCAGGCCAGCCACACGCTTCAGAGGAGGGCGGCGGCGGCACTGCAGTAGCTGATGCGGAGGAGGGCACAGCGGCGGCGGCAACGCAGGCAGGCCAGCTGCGCGCTTCTGCGGAGGCTGCTGCGGAAGCAGCGCGTGGGAGCTGAGGGTGAGTGGGGCTGTTTTTGCAAGTAGACTGCTTCAGGAGGGGCTAACAACTTGGAGGGGCTGCCATGTACATATAGGCCCTACCTGGCGCTAGGGAGCTAAGTTAAGGAGAGTAGTGGCATGCAGTATGGCGCTGCCGCATGGGCGTCGCGCTGCGCAATGGGAAAGATTTTTTCGGATGTTCAGAATAGCTCGCTAGAAGGGCGTTGCGATCCAGCAACGCAGGGACGACGCCACCGGCGACGACGACGACGAAAAACGACTACGCCACAGGCCACCACCCTGGCCTTCAGGCCATCACCCCGCCACCGTGCCTGGGGTCGTAGGTTAGAGGCCTCTTGGATGTTCGTTGGGATAATGAATGGTGGGAAGCCTTTTGGGGTCCTCTTGGAGGCATTTTGAAGCCTCTTGGGGTCCGTTTGGAAGCTTACTGGGGCTTACTTTTGGGCTTCTTGGGGGCCTTCTTTTCGATGCCTCTCGGGGCCTCCTGGGATTTCTTGGGGCGGAAGTTTCGAATTATCGGTTCGTGTTGTTCCCCCCTTTGGCCCCTCTTGGGGCCCTCTTGGGGCTCTCTTGCGCTGTCATGGTCGCCTCTTGGGCTGTTCTGGAACCCTCTTGGGCCATCGTCTTGGGGGGGGGTCCTCTTGTGGGCCTCCTTGTTGGCCATCTTGGGCGGCCCTTGGGGCCTCGTGGTCAGTCTTGGAGCGTCGGAAGCTCTGACAGACAGGCGAGGAGGACCCGCACACAACGAAAAAATATAATCACATCTTGGAGCCCTCTTGGGGGGCCTCCTGGAACGCTCTCTGGGCCTCGTGGAGGATTCGTGGGCCATCGTCTCGGGGCCATCCTGGGCGTCGTGGAACGCTCCAGGAGGGCGCGCGGGAGCGCGCGAGAGCGCCCAGAAAATTTGAGATGTTGGGGCCCCGACTGCCGAGGAATGAGAGGGGGGGGAAGAGGGGGAGGACGAAGAGCGAGGGAGGAGAATCCCCACCCCTCCGGCGGGCTGGCCCTGCTGACAGGCGAGCCCTAACAGGCGCCATGCGTCTCCTGGCGCGGAGGGCCTGGGAGGGGGCAGGGGGGGGGCCGGGGGAAAAAGGGAGGGCGAAAGGGGGTTAGGGCAAGAAGGGAAACGGGACATGAAAAGAGGCGGCAGAAAAAAAGGAAGGAGAATGGGGGAGGGACAAGGGGAAGGAAGGGAGAGGGGAAAGGGGATGGGAAAAGAGGGGATGGGGAATTGTATGTCGCGTCGATTTTTCATTCAATCTCGCAGTGTAGATTCATAGTGTAGTCAAAATCATAGTATACAGTATACAGTCATGTGTTCAATATGCAGTACACTACACAGTATACACTACACAATATACAGTATACAGTCATAAATTCAGTATACAGTATACAATATACAGTATACAATATACAAATCATAGCACCCCCTCCCTGCGTACCCTCCTCTTCCTCCTGCTTTGCCTGCCTTGCTTGCTGGCCCCCCCCTCTGCTTACACTGCTTGTTTCGCGCCTTCCCAGGCCCGAGCACCAGACATTGGCCCCTTGGGGGCGGTGTCGAGGTCGCCAGCACCGGCGGCGCCGCCGCGTGGCGCAGCGCTGCAGGCATGGCAGGGCTGGGGTCGTCAACAAAATGCCGCCATCACCTCCATGGCGAAAGAACCCCCCATTCGCTTTTGGAACCGGCCCGTTTCTGATGCGATCGGCGGTGGAGTCGAGGGCGGCTGGTGGAGTTTTTCTCTGGGCGGGCTGCAACGTAAAATCATGTAGTATCTGGATTGCGAATCCGAGTCCTCCTCTCTCCTCCTCCTCCTCCTCCTCCTCCTCCTCCTCCTCCTCCTCCTCCTCCTCCTCCTCCTTCTCCTCCTCCTCCTCCTCCTTCTCCTTCTCCTTCTCCTTCTCCTCCTCCTCCTCCTCCTCCCTCCTCCTCTCCTTCCAGCTGCTCCTCCTCGCTCGCAATAGGCCGCTGCGCCTTGTTTAATTCGTTCTCAGTCGTCTCTGTCTCGCCGCTCGCATCAGAGACGCGCCTACTACGCGCAACAAACGCCTCGCCAATCACAGACTCGCTACTACTCAGACTTATTCAAACTCTAGGGCTTATTACGCGCAGTCGTACCTACTGATGTGCATGATACCCAGACGACACACTCATATCATCCAGACTCGCTCACACTCAGACAGACAACCACGCTCACACTGACAGTGGTCATCAGACGCACTCAGTGCATCCTGAACCACTGGCGCTCAGTCGGACTCACTCGCACTCATGCTCGGGTTTCATGTAGCGCTCCGTCGAGGGTTGCCAGGGTGTCTTCGTCGTGGGGCGCTCTTCTACCACACGCGCCCTGATCGCGGGGATTGTCAGCTCGGACGGCCCCCCCGCTTCCTGGATTCAGCACAGCCCCACGTGGGGGGGCGGGCGACGACCGACCACCCTCAGGGGGGGGGGGAAGCATTCCGTACCATCCGCCGCTGCGCAGGCTGGGGCGACGCCGCCGCTGCCGCCTGGTGGCGCTAATGAACCTGGCGGCGCGCCTGCCGAGGGGGCAGCGCCCGCCCCCAGCGCCGCCGGCAGCAGCGCTGACAGGCCCGCGGCGTCTCCGCAGCCCGCCAAGACGGCGGCTGGCTGGGAGGTCGTCAACTCACTCACTCACCACCACTCCCTTTGCTGACGAGGAGGGGGAGGCGGAGCTGGAAGAGAAGGAGGAGGGGGAGGGGGAGGAGGACGAGCAGGAGAAGGGCGACGACGACGACGAGCAAGACGACGACGACGACGACGACGACGACGAGGAAGGGCGATGAGCGATGGGGCTAAATCCTAAAATGATTAAGACCCGCAGGCCGGCGACGGGCACTTCTGCTGCGGCGAGGGC